CAGCATGGCATCAGATGTCTATGCATTGGGAATGATCATGTGGGAGTGGGGTGTCGGTAAACCGCCATTCGGTAAACGTCCCTTCGATCGTGCTTTAGCCATTGATATATGTAATGGGTTGCGACCAGAATTACCGGCGGAAGGATTACCTGACTTTTACCTCGACTTGATTGTACGTTGTTGGCATCAAAATCCTTCACAAAGACCAACTTCCGAGGAGATTTGCGACATCGTTAAAAAATGGTATCGATACCTAAACCGAACTACAGAAATGAAACAACAAATAGACGCCGCCGAGAAGTTTAGAATTGCAAATGCATCCAAATATGATTCCGAAGAAAGTTACAGGACGCATACTTTGGCCGTTTATACGAGCAAAGTTTTGCCGAATGTGAATCAGGAAGGTTAGTAGTTTTCAATAATGTTTGTATATTTTGGTATTATCAAGCTAATAAATATTATGTCAAATGAAGATATATTAGAATTTCAACCAGTTCAAGATAGTTTCGATCTTGATGATTTGGTTAATTGAGGATGGAGAATGAATTTTTAGATAAAAGTTTTAGGGAATTAATATCAGTCTCGGAACGGTTAATGTAACCAAATTGTCATTTTGCAGCATCTTTCCTTGCTCTTTATATTTTAGTCATTTATATTCAAAATTTTCATTTCCTTATCTCTTTTGGCTTATGAATTTTTTGCAATACAGTCAATTTCATAAGTAACTGACCCCTATTTTCTCGTCACACAATATAATAAAGAAAAAAATTCTTTTTTTATTTAAAAATATATGATTAATCCTGATCACTAATACAGAGTATAATCATCATGGGATTCAATTAACGCTATCACATGATTTTTCATACTGTCAGACTAATTTTGTCACTAAATTATTAGGTAAACGGTTCCATTCTTTGATCAATTCACTCTTTAAACCCTTAAGAGTTCTAATTTTTTTTTGCAATATTTATTTTCATAATTCTCTAGACATTTTCAATTGGATTTTGGTTGAATTTTGGTTGGGTGACATCGATGGCCAGGAAAGAACTTGTACGTTATTTTTCTTCTTTCATTTATTTACAAGTTTTGAATGGTGTTTAGGATCATTATCCTTCTGCAAAATCCAATCTACACAATTCTCATCAAAAAGTATTTCAATAGAAGGCAGAAGACCCTTCTCATAAAGTATAACCATAAAATCAGTATTTAGATTCCTCTGGAAACAAACTAACTTTCCAAAGCCTAAAGTTGAAAAACACCCCCATACATGAACTTTTAATAGATACTTTACAGAATGGAATACTTTTCTTCCACTAGGAAATATCCATACCTTTCTTCCTCATTGATTTAGTTGAAAGATGAAAAAATTACTTGATTCCAATCAAAATTCTTATGATTTTTCACTTATTATAGTTGGGATTTTTTATGTTTATCAGTAAGAGTTTGGAAAGTTGATTCATATATTTGACTCCAGCTTCATGTAAATATCACCAAATTGTAGGTACACTTATATTAACATTATCCTTTGTTATTTTTCATTGTATTTCAAGAGTAGTTATGGTAGTTTCTTTTTTTGCAAGCTCCTTAATTTTTTTATCTTGTTTTAGAATTGTAATTTGTTTCTGCCCTGATTTTGATACATCACTTAGATCCTTTGTTTTATTCCACTTTTTGAGTACATTACTTACTGTACCTTTAGCACAACCAATATACTTCGCTATCACTTGAAGTCCAAGCTTTGGACCTTCGGGATGAGTATGTAAAAAAACAATTTCATAATGCTTATGTAAAGGAAGAGACATTTTTTTAACATAGAAGTTTGTTGATGATCTACAACATATGTAGATTATATATCAACCTATAAAAGGCATCATGATCAGCATGTGTTTGGAAAATTTCATAACATTACACATGATTTTTAGAAAGTTATGAGGGGTCAGTTATGAAATTGACTATATTTCAATAAATTATTTTTACTCGATAAATGTTAAACAAACAACAGAAGAATTATTAAGAGTAAATTTAAATAATAAAACATATTTTATAAAATCAACATTAACTTATGCCTGGGTGACAGGCTGTTGCTTTGTACACGTAATTGGAGAGCAACTGTGCGACAATGAGAAATGATGGTATTCAGAGAATTTCTGAAAGTATTCATAAAACTCTTCTTGCGTAAACTTCATATCCCCTATTCCCCACGTGTTTCTCTTTTCAAGTTGATATGGTGAGACATTCACTATTTGCCCACACCCATCACTATCATAAGCACCGCGGTAGCCATAGGATGCGAATGCTACAATCCGAAGAAGTTTATATTGCCCACCATTCGCTGGTTCAGTGTTTTCACCCCCTGGTTTATAAATTTTCTGAACTTCATCAACTATAAGAATCGTTTGGATGCGGTTACACTCAGAAATAAAGTCGTTCCAGCTTACACCCACCGACTTCTTAAATTCATCCTTAAACAGAAATCTCTCGTTGCCCTTCCCAGCACTCATCCATAATAGAGAGATGCGCAAAACACGTTTGTCATGACCTTCGTTCGAATTATGAAGGTAATGCTCCAATAATTGAGCAAGAGCCATTTTGCCCACCATTGGCGGAGAACGGATAAGCATAATGTGCCTCTCATATAGACAATCGAGCAATTTTCTTATCATCCCTATCCTCCTACAAACAGTCTCATCTTTAAGATTGACTCCCTCATATCCAACACCGAGCTCAGTGCCTTGCATGACTGTGCCGCCCAGTGCCCCTAAAAAAAGGCGTAACAGGTAAGCTCCGAACATAGAAATATATTGCGCTTGTTACCTAGTCTCGGCGTATAGCCAAATTCTGATTGAATTAGGCGAATCCGCTCAGGATCGTCTAGCCCTTCCCGATTGCCGACGAGATAATGGAGCTGTAGAAAGGATCAGAAGTTAGTGAGGTTAACAAATGAAAGGTAGATTGCACCGGGTGATTGTGAGCTAGGTATGAGCACAAATTCAGTTAATCACAGAGCTCAGTGCTTACCTTCACCTGATAAGAGTAAGTTGAAACAGAAGCGATGTAAAGAATGCGAAAGGAGAAACGTCATATTGAAAGAGTTCAGGTTAACGTCACATAAACAGTACCATATACCAAACGCAATAAGCATTTCAAAGAAATGACTGTAACTAGCTAGTTTGCCTCTTATTTGCTCCTTTACTACTCTACGTCCCAACTAATACACCCAACTGCCTCTCTTGCAATAGCACTGATAACTTTCTAACTATCCTCCTAATAAACGTGTATTGCTTGCTTACCTTCTTGTAACTTCTTGTACGCATTTTCAATGTCTTTTGCAGTAGCACCTGGATTTTTGTTGATATAGTCAAGAGTAAATTGAACAGGTGCTTTCTTATCTTGCTGTTTTTGTTTCCGTGTAAGGTATGCTAGGAGAATTTCCCCGTGTTTAGCATCGTGATTATTTGCTCTGTATTCAGTGGCAAATTCTTCGTATTCTTGTGGGCCATGTTATAAAAAAAGAAGTTATTCAAAGGGAACAATTGCATGCATCAAATCAAATTGTTCGATTGTTGCGTATCCTCGAAATTCTCATAAAAGTACTAATGCTTGAACCATTATAACTCAAAATATTTTTAATTAAAATGAAATTTCAATTCATAAATATGGAACTTATTATCAAAAAAATCATATAGTTCACTTAAAACGAGTATAGAAACTAGGAGCCTTTTCTCCATATCAAAATTTTTGTAATAATAGACGAGACGTTCCATAGATATTTATTAATTAAAAAAGTATAGTACAAAGAACGAGTCTCTGCAAAGAAAAACAGAATTATACCGCACAAAAAATTGTAATATCCCAATATAATAATAAATTACTATTATTTTTATAAAAATTTAGTTATTATTATTATTATCATCATCGTACCCATCACCATCATCTACCGCCATCTCTTCCTCATCGACATCACTTTTCGCGCTTTGGTTTTCTTCTTCAGCAGCTGTCTCTTCTCCTTCGTCAGTGCTATCTTCTATTTCTTCCATTGATAATACTTTAGATTTGGCTGCTCTCGGCGTAATTCTTTGCGTGGTTTTTTTTTACGTTATAATTTTTTATTTAAAATGGAGTTGATCAACATGAAAATTGAATTACGCGTAATAATACACTTGAAAAAATATACCTTCTTGTAGGTGTTGCAGGCTTATTTATATCGATTTTTCTCCGTTTTTTCGGAGACTGAGATTTTTTTGTAGAATTTGTTGATCGTGGCTTTTTCGTTGCCTATATGGTATTCAATTATGTTTGATGTAAATAAAAAAATAAGGAATTATGAATATAATAAAGTCACAAACTTTTTCTTGTTTAGAATGTGCAGTCGGTTGTTTTTTCTCTAACATCTTTATAAAGTCCACGGGCAAATAATTCTTTTCCATAACCTGTAATTTACCACGAAAAAAAAACAAATCAATACTTTAAGAGATAACCGATTATTATCCATAACATATATATATATACATACTTCTTTCATTTTTTCTGCAGTAGGCAGACTTGCAAATAAATCGGCAGGGAGTTTCACTTGACCGGGATAAGAAGGTAGTGTCCAAGAGGCGGCTTTGCATTTTTCGCGGATCACATGCTGAGCCAAATCACTTAAAATGTATAAATTCTGTTTTTCGGCACGGAGCCAAATGAAGGTAAAAGTTAATACCAGAGAGCCAATGATAAAACACATCAATTTTTTCAAGAAATTAATTACATCGGATTTTTTAGGTGCATGTAAATTTTCCGGATTTTCTTGACCATGCAGGTCCTGGAATTGCTTTATTCTACCAGTGATATAGTATAAAAAGGAAATATTTTCGGCGTTTGCAATTGTTTCCAGAAAGAACTCGATGTATCTGCGTAAAACAAAGTATCACGTTAGCCGCAGACTATTAAAGGTAAGTTTAATTATTTTCTTACTTTGTAGCTCTAAGAAGTTGATTTGACTCCAATGAGAAATCTGTGTGTGATATAAGATGAATAAGTCGAACTAGGGACATCTCGAATATTAAAGTCGTATTATCACCTAAATATATGTTGAAATAAATGATTGTCTATATTAATAAGCTTGAAGAATGGTACACGGTTTTTAAATTTTCAAGCGAATGAACTTACGTTGAGCCCTTGCAGCAACAGAATGTTTAATCAAAAAAACTTTAGCCTAATAATTAATACGTAATTAAAGTCAGGTAAATGACTATGTCATAAAAATCAATCAACCAAAGAACTTGCCATGTCTCGTATAGCCGGAGTAGGCTCATGAGCTACTAAAAAGAATATTGAAAGGAATCGCGCACTAAGTTGGTATGCACCACAATATTTAATAAGTCGGGACGCAAATCCATAACGAACATTATAGCAAGTATCCTAATACGTGGTATTTTGATAATTTGAAATTAATATAAAATCGATGTTATATTATATACGGAAACAAAAATAAATACCTGGATCATCATTGCCAATTTTTGAAAATCTGGAACTGTAATCATTTTATCATAAGTCTTTCTACGCGCCAGTTTTAATATAGCACGAGCAGCAGCTAATCGCAATCGACTCTTAAACGCAAGGCTATTATTATCATAATAAATATTTAATATTTCGTTAGGAGGCAATAAAAACAAAAGTATATGTGATTCTTATTTAATTTACCTCGTGGTCTTTTCCGGATGTATTTCACCGCCATCTTTTATTAATTTCCACAATATTTTAAAGACCGGTTTTGCCGATTCTTCTACACCTTGTTCTTCCGATAGTGAAAGTAAATTATTAACAAGGATCTTCAATCCAATCACCTAATTCATTATCATGACAATTAAAAATCAACAATTTATTATATTACATTAAAAAGAAATCAAAAATTGTGTATTATAAGTAAAAAAAAAAAATCACTTTTGCTTTACACTCGTCATCCAGTTGACTGTCTTCAACCCAGTCTTTTTCGTCGTTTGAGGGCTATTTTTTTATAAATATTTAATTTAAAACGATAAATATTATTCACGAATAGTCCATGGTAATACATTAATGTGGTGGTGATGATAATGAAATACATTCATTACCTGATATCTATTT